GTTGCAGATAAACCGTTTGTTCAATATAACCGATATCGTAATACCTGGCTATGGTTGACTGTTGCAGATAAACCATTTGTTCAATATAACCGATATCGTAATACCTGGCTATAGTTGACTGTTGCAGATAAACCATTTGTTCAATATAACCGATATCGTAATACCTGGCTATGGTTGACTGTTGCAGATAAACCATTTGTTCAATATAACCGATATCGTAATACCTGGCTATGGTTGACTGTTGCAGATAAACCATTTGTTCAATATAACCGATATCGTAATACCTGGCTATAGTTGACTGTTGCAGATAAACCGTTTGTTCAATATAACCGACATCGTAATACCTGGCTATGGTTGACTGTTGCAGATAAACCGTTTGTTCAATATAACCGATATCGTAATACCTGGCTATAGTTGACTGTTGCAGATAAACCATTTGTTCAATATAACCGATATCGTAATACCTGGCTATAGTTGACTGTTGCAGATAAACCATTTGTTCAATATAACCGATATCGTAATACTTGGCTATGGTTGACTGTTGCAGATAAACCATTTGTTCAATATAACCGACATCGTAATACCTGGCTATGGTTGACTGTTGCAGATAAACCGTTTGTTCAATATAACCGACATCGTAATACCTGGCTATGGTTGACTGTTGCAGATAAACCGTTTGTTCAATATAACCGACATCGTAATACCTGGTTATGGTTGACTGTTGCAGTTAAACCGTTTGTTCAGTATAACCGACATCGTAATACCTGACTATGGTTGACTCAGGTGAATTGTTTGTTCAGTATAATTGAGCGTTCTTCCATGTAGATGTCCCTGCTACATGACGGGAAACTAAAAGCATACTGTTTTGTGTATCCACACAAAATGCATATCACTGACGTTTATGCGAGTGCCGCTGGGAGTGACTGAGTGTCCCTCGTTTCGTACGAGTTCACGCCTGTTCAGAACAGTTGGGTAACGTAACCGATATTTTATGTACAAGTGACTTTATTTCACTCGACTCTCAGCGGCCATTGCCTGTATTTATGCTTATTGGCACAGTAAGTAGTTGATGTTTTTCTCAATCGCGCTCTTCCCTTTCTCTTGGTCCGCCATGTTTATTTGTGGTTCTTAATATATGTATTCGTGCGCTAGTTTTGACGTTTACGCTGAGACCAAAAGGATCGTTTGATGGATATTAATGTAAGGGATGATCTTACTCAGACTGTGACAAATTAAATGATAGCAACTGTTACAGATATGTATTGTCTACTTTATATTTATTTTCGAATACCAAACGCTTTTCATGAAAATATCACGTTTTCACGTCGCTCGATGCCAGATACGTCATATTTCACAAGACACATGAAATATCCTCTATATCAGTTAGTCCCTGCTAGTGTCTATTGCAGTGATCTACAAGTTCCCTTACAAATCACTTGTCATCCCCAGCATAGCTCACGCACCACCCTCGATCGTGTCATGCGATTGGCTGCTCATTAACACTCGCCCTGCCTACGTCCGTCCTGCTGTGTATTTAGTTAGCGTCTTACTTAACTCTCCGATCTTTGACTGAACGCCAACCGTAAGTTACAACTAAATGTGAGGGACGTCCACTTGAAGTTGTTATTGCCCCGGGTGGACGCTGAGGTTACAGACCGAGACGGACGTTGGTTTCCAGGCCTGTAAGTATAGGGGTGTTTAGCCATGTTATATATAATGTTCAATGTATGTATGCCAGGGACATGCACTAGGTCCTACTGAGTTTATGTGATGAGTGTTATATTTAGTTATTCCACTGTTATATTTAACTTTCTCTCTCTCTCTCTCTCCTCTCTCTCTCTCTCTCTCTCTCTCTCTCTCTCTCTCTCTCTCTCTCTCTCTCCCTCTCTCTCTCTCTCTCTCTCTCTCTCTCTCTCTCTCTCTCTCCCTCTCTCTCTCTCTCTCTCTCTCTCTCTCTCTCTCTCTCTCTCTCTCTCTCTCTCTCTCTCTCTCTCTCTCTCTCTCTCTCTCTCTCTCTCTCTCTCTCTCTTTCTCTCTCTCTCTCTCACACACACACATCTTCAAACAGTTTCTATTACATCGGGGGCGTAAATTTCCAGTTGGAACGAAATGCACACTTGTGTTTGTGTTTCGTGAATTATACTACATTATATTGTAACCAACTTCAACGAAATCCCTTCTCGATCACAAGGGTGCGTGTCTAGCCATGTATACCTGAATGAGTATTACTTAGTGCAGTATGAATGAATATTATACTGAATGGATTAACCACATCGTGAATGGGTAGTTGACAACAGCGGTTGCGCGTACTTAATGATCTCGACATACCCACCCTAGCTGATCTGAGTACAGGGAGGTTGACCAAGCGTGTCTTTGATTGTTGAGCACCTTCCTGCCGGGAGTAGGTATTAATCTGAAGTGTAGCGATCGAAACTGTTTCAGCTTAGATTTGTCCTTCAGCGATTCGCAGTACACGTATTTGTGGCTATAACTTCGTATTTTTATTACTTTAGTTTGTTGTTTTTTTGGTTATTAAGAACACACGCTCTAGACGAGACAGATAGTATTGTAATATTATATTGTTTTGAAACGTGTTTTGGCTTAAACCATACTATTGAAAACTGTGCAAATATGAAGAAGTTTTAAACTTCTAGGGAACCGTTCATAATTTCTCTTTCTCAAATGTATATTTTCGGTGGGTTGAGTTGGGTTGGGTAAGAGGGTCGACGATAACTGGTTGAGCAATAAAATACAATTAGAAAGACCAAAACAACATATATTACTCGGACATTCTGTCGTTTTTTTGGTTTTTAAAATTAAAAAATAATGTATTGTAGTTAAGCCCCAGCCATCCTATCCCAGCAGATTAAGTGGCCGCGATCGGCCCTTAATTGTAATGATCAACTTCGCCATGTGTCTCAAACATTGCCGTTTGAAGTCTTATATCTTAATCCCTGAACAGAATATTTGACTAATGCCGTCAGATGCCATACAGGTTGCAGATTCCTTGCACAATCCGATGTTTTCTCTGGTGGCGGCCGATTTGACAGTTAACGTTCGCTTTGTTCTTAACTTAGTATCATTGTTCGAGAATCCGGAAGTAGAAGTGCGCATGCTCTATTATACGACGTCAGACAACACTGCCAGGATATAAATGTATTGTGTTAAGAATCACAGCTTTGAAATTATTTTTATGTTGACCTCTGTAATCTTTTTCTATGTTACTGTGTTGTTATTAGCGGATGAGTGGGTGAGAGGGTGAGTAGGTGAGGATACAGTATTGTAATGGTAAAGAAATACCATGAAAATGCTGGAAAGAAACATTTTGGTAGTTTTTCTTTTGAGAGTGAATATTACTTTAATAGTCATTGCTCAATAAATGACAAACGAGGAGTCAAGCAATTTTGTGGGGACTCACAGAACATTATTTGTCATAACCTGAAGACAAATTGTGTTGCCATAATTTACAGGTATCGACTTTTTTCAGAAAAAACAACCCGTTCAACCCCACAATTGTTTGCTTTAACTTATAAACGGAACCAGCAGTTCGTAAGAATACTTCTGTATTTCTCTCATACTGGTGATCATTTGTTGAAGAATCCATTATGTAACACGCGATAGACAGATAACCACTGTGATGCTGTGTCAACTTGTAACAATGTATGTTCTTTGTGGGGTCGACCAAGGGGATTGGGTGGCCAGGCTCGCTGACTTGGCTAATACGTGCCATTGTAGCTCAGTCGCGTAGATCGATGTTCATACTGTTTACCTCTGGATTGCCTGGTCCAGATTCGATTATTTACAGACCGCCACCATATAGCTGGAATATATAGCTGGGTGCGGCGTAAAATTAACTCACTCACTCACATTGTGCACTCCTGTTATGTTTTAACTCTATGACAATGATATCCTGTTATATGATACAATCATCTGATCAATGTTTCATTGTGTTGGGAATACATTTTACAGAGCATGGGACAATGCATTAACCATGACATTGATTCTCATAAAATACTGCTCATTCCCCGTTCTCCCCACAACATAAATAGTATCAATTCGCCAATCATCCGCCCACTCATGTACATGGATTCTTATGCATTTAATTATGATTAATTCATGGCTGCTCAAATGAAATTGTGATAATTAATTATTCATAGATCTTGAATTGGTTTCGGTGACAGTGTGATTTATTGCTCCAAGTAAAACATCTAGAGTGGTGACTGCCAGTATCTGGCAGATCTGGCGCGGCAGAGGAGGCATTGTTCGAGTGGAAGACTGAGTAATGTTTTATGTCGGTTGTTGGTGATGTCAGTGTGTTAAATCACGACACTTACTGTTGGTAGCCTCCTTGTACCCAAATGGGGGATTAAGCAGTCTCACAGTCCCTGAACCACATTAATTTCCCTTCCGTCAAGCCCTTTCTGGTGCTGAAGCCCTCGATTAAGCAAATCTAGATTTCCTTAAAGCTCTGAATCTCACGTGTCATTTGGGCTCCTTTTCAATACAAATGGAATTATTTGTTTCTATGATATGATGTGACATGATATGATTGTGATTATGATATGATATGATATGATATAAAAAAAACCCCAAAACAGTCAGACAGTCACGATCACTCAACGTTCTACCAAGATGGCGGATACGATGAAGATGGTTGCATGGTTACAGATCTATCCGTTTACTTTTTGTAACATAATGTTTCGATCGGCATTCCAGAAGTTCGTGAATTAAAAATGAAGCACACAACTTTATGGATGACAACTTCTTGTTTATTGCATAGTGCGACGTTTCGATGTAGATTCTTACACTGTTATCAAGCTAAAGGTTACAACGGTGTAAGAATCTTCATCACTTCATCACTGTCATCCATAAATCTGTCACGCAAAAAATTGTATGCTTCATTTTGTAATTTACTTTAAATTGGGTATAGCTGAAAGTTATATAGGTGATGATGGATGTTATGCTTTAATGTCTCACAACTGTGCAAAATGTGTTTTCAGGTGATCACCTCGTTCTACCAAGATGACGGATCCGATGGAGATGGAACCATACGACAACGTGACGCTTGAGATAGACGTGAACTACACTGACAACAGAGACATCGTGAGTCTCAACAATGACAAGGCCTTCGTCCTGTTGCCCGTCGTTGTTTACGTCATAGTCCTCATGGTCTGCGGCATTGTAGGAAACAGCTTCGTCTGCTACATCTACAGATGCAGGTTCCGGAGAAACACTTCCAATTTCTTCATAGTCTTCCTAGCAATAATGGACCTCTTCTGCTGCTGTGTTGGGATGTCCTTCGAACTGTCGGATCTGATGCTTCCATACCTGTTCAATGCCCCCGCAGCGTGTAAGATATTTAGGTTTTTGGAAACGTGGGCTTCGGGGGCGTCGGGGTTGGTGCTAGTGTGCGTGGCTCTGGACAGATATTATAAACTGTGCAAACCAACAGAAAGATTTTCTCTCAAGCGAGCAAAGATATTTTGCTGCGTTGCTATCTTCCTTGCACTAGTCATGGCAGTGCCTTCGTTGATAGTGTTTGGGAAAAGGACAGTTGAAACCGAGGTTCCAGGCATCAATGGTACCGAGTGTTCCACGGACGATGAGATGCTGGATAGTCCTCTGAGGATCGTGTTCTACGTCACAATGCTAGTGACGTTCCTCGTCAGCCTTATATGTCTAATAACACTTTACAGCTTAATCGGCTTCAACTTGTGGCAGAGGAAACACAAAAAGATGGGAGAGAAACTCAAACCAAAGGGAGACTACCCTCGGACTCATCGATTTGTGAACAGTGATAGTTCATCATTCTCGAGCCTGTCAGACGAGACCAAAAAGTCTCAGGGCTATGTACAGAGCCACGTGGGTATACAGAAGACAGACACTATGCGACAAGCCAAAGGATACAAACCTAATCAGGGTATGGGACACATATCTCTCAAGACGACCCGTCTCACTTGCATCTTTTTTGTGCTGTCAGTTTCGTTCGTACTGAGTTTTCTCCCTTGGATTATAGCGAACGTTCTCAAAGTGACAAAGGCGGCCTTTAACCCCTTTTCTTCTGATGCAATGGAGGTGTTGTATAACTTCCTTGTGAGATCACACTTTATCAACAGCTCGGTTAACCCTATCATCTATAGTATACTTAATGGTCAGTTCAGGAAAGAATGTAAGGTAGTGTTTAAACGAATGTTTAAAACCTGCAAACAGTGATACAAGCAATATCCAAACAGTTCAAAAAGGACCAATTTGATTTTGACATCATTTTCATGTGACATATTATCTCATATGGCCACACTTCCCTGAATACCACCTAGTGTGTTGTGGAGAAACCATTGATTGACAAGTCACAAGGTCATATGAGCAATGAAGTCATGCGCCATTTCACCACTGTGATAGGGATAATTACACAGCCAGCTATACCTATATGGAGACTGTAAAGAATAACGACATCTTCTTGAAACGTCTGACTGAAAGCAGTTGTGCAACTGTATCGCATTGCCGTCAGACTGGAGGCTTGAGTTGTTACCTCCCTTTTGTCACGATATATATCAGTCGGAAAACACCGGGTGTTTTCGCCATCCTTTGTCGCAAACATATATCAGTCGGAAAACATCGGGTGTTTACCTCACCCGTGTTTTCTTGATATCATTGATACACGTCGATAGAGGGGGGTTCTGCCAGAATCAAAGCAACAGACAAACTTCACATTGTAATTCAGCTAACAGTATCTGTTGAACTTGAACATGTGTTATGTTGAGACATGTTAGCTTTGTACTAAAAGAGAGAAGTGTAATATTTTATCACTGGGGCCATGGCGTGTGAGCATGCCGGCAGTGTGCTAGTCTCAGTGATATAGCCAATGGGCATGTTTTCCCGACAATAAGTAGATGCAGGATATGTCAGTCGACTGTACGAATCGAAACACTTATATATCGCAATAAATTGAATCACCTGTTCGTTGGGTACGTTTTACAAAGAGGGCTTGCCAGACGAATCTTAATACTGATGTCCATATCTAAAAATGATGTGAAAAGTTTTGTAAGTGAAACCTTTGAACCGTCGGGAGATTTCGTTTTGATGACTCTGCTATTGTTTGTCTCCCATTCAGAACTGACGATAGTTTTGTTTTTAGTCGTGGGTGGAAATTCCGACCATTAAGTAATTTATTAGTTTTTGTCTGTCATGTGAGAGTCTTTATTTTGAATGCATCAATAGAAAACTCAGATTGTTTATCCAACTTTATCAGAGTCGTTCATTTAGTCCCTTACTTTTCACGACTACATGGGTGGGTTGTACCGTTTCTCATTAACCATGAATGTCCACACGACCGTAGCTCACCTGTAGACAAGTGTGAGGGAGAGGGTTGTCTTGGCACGACCTCAATCGTTGTGTCATATTTTGCAAGGGTGCCTCAAAACATTGTTCATATGGCCTCCATGGCCTCCATCTTGAAAATACCATATTGGGTTTCGACCGTGACCAGCTACCAATTACGTGCACTACTTTTGAAGGTGGATAACCATCGTCAGTTTCAGCTGATACTCACAAATATCGCCTGTGTCATCTTATATAACATTAGAACCATGAATACTCGTGAACCATTCAGTCGAACGTCAGTATTGCATATTGCTGATATCTCCCGGTCTAAGATAACCCCCAACAATTCAGGTGAGCTACATATTGCTGATACATCCCTGTCTAAGATAATCCCCAACAATTCAGGTGAGCTACATATTGCTGATACATCCCTGTCTAAGATAATCCCCAACAATTCAGGTGAGCTACATATTGCTGATACATCCCTGTCTAAGATAATCCCCAACAATTCAGGTGAGCTACATATTGCTGATATATCCCAGTCTCCGATAATCCCCAACAATTCAGGTGAGCTACATATTGCTGATATCTCCCAGTCTCAGATAACCCCCAACAATCCAGGTGAGCTACATAAACTTTTAGTCAGTGTCACATTTCCACCAGAACAAATGAGATCGATCTGTCATGGTAGGGTACGTTACTTATACTGATATCGAGTACAACAATTCATTTGTATTCAAACCATGCATTAGTAATGTTTCATATGGAAACATTCCAGGGAGTTTCGAACGACATATTACGTAAGGCGAACGCAGTCTACTCACTTATTCCAACTGAATAACTCAAGGTGATATCTAGAGACGACTAGAACCACTTGGGGCTTATAGAAGGAGGTGGGCAGGAATCTCGTGATGAGTTGAGCCGTATGTTCAGTGTAGGTAGCGACGAATTGTTTCTAAATAAACGTATGGAGAATGAATGTAGTTAATCTTTAACCTTCGCGTCAAACTGGTCGTTTCTTGGATTGGTACGATGTGTAGAAGCATCAAGACAAAGGAAGCTGTTTTTTCATTGGGTGCTGACTAGTCGCAACCTACCTTTAAGTTTCTAAGGGCGACTATGCATATTTTCTCGACGTTTGCAAGGTTGAAATAGAACAGAGGACGACCTACTTACACATATATGTCTACAACCCACTGTAAGGGACCAGACTTTCATTATAGGTCAGGGTGTTCATCCATGTGTGCACAATAAAGATGACAATGCTGTTTGTATCGAGCCTCTATCGACCCGACTTGCTAATCGAGCATGTTCGCAGGAAAATTTCATTATTATGATACGTACTGTAAACGTACTTTCCTGTTTCTTGATTTTGCGCAACATTGCGCAACATTGCGCTGGAGTTTTCGTGGGCTCATTGTTTACCCCAGCACCTGATATAAATGACCGTCCCTAAACGCGTCTGAAACAAGGGAGATAACTGTAGCACCCGATACTGTACGATAACCTCTGTGATAAGTCTGAAGAAATTTTCATCGCAATATCGGATGAGAATTTGTATTTTTTATCGGTTTATTGTCGTGGTTTTTAACGACTGAAATAAAGTGTTCAAAGAGAATTGTGTTGTTTTTCTTCACGTATGAGGTCATCTATAGGCCTACCCAGTGACAGGTCCTCTTTCATTGAGACAACATAGTAAGACGAGATATGTCGGTGTTCACAGTTATATCCAACTGTTTGCTGGATCTCATACTTCACATTTGACTTATGATCACCAACTATTCGGAATACTTCTGGAAAAGCAGTCCAATGAAACGACGGTCAGATATCACGGCATTAATATAGGAAATTCTACCTTGTCAGTTCACGCTCATATTAATAGTAACATCTTTGAAACGAGGCGGCACATGTGAAAAATGCATCCCTCAGAATTAGATTGAATCAATTATCACGATGGTGGAACGCTTACTTCCCAGTGTCTTCAGTCCGAGAACGTATATAATCCATAGTCGGCCATGTACAAACTGGACGTTGTTCATACCGTCAGCCACTGCCGGGCCAGACTGTTATTACATGTACATATGGTCTCCGTGGTGTATGAGGAATAATGCTTAGCGCGGCGATAACTTTCTGTGTACTCTAATATATATAGGGGGCGGTGGGGTAGCCTAGTGGTCAAAGCGTTTGCTCGTCACGCCGAAGACCCGGGTTCGCTTCCCCATATTGGTACAATGTGTGAAGCCCATTTCTAGTGTCCCCTGCCGTGATGTTGATGGAATTTTGCTAAAAGCTGCGTAAAACCAAACTCACTCTCTCACTAATATATATGGGCATAAACAGTGCTAAGTGAAACTTATTCAGTGTCTGTGAATAAGCAAGGAACCATACTCGTGGGTTTCATTAAAGTGGCCGCTCTATCTAACCGCGACAAAACACTTTCCACGACCATAAGAAGTCTCTATTTTAAACACTATTTTCCCAGGCGTGCATTTCTTCCCTCACACTCCAGTCAGACCTACTGAAATGCTGCTCAGATATTCATTACCGCATTTGGTTCAAACGATAAAACGCTTTCAATGATTAACTTTCAAGCTATTACTTGTAAGATGTTATTTGTATGCCAAAGATGTGTACATGCACACGCGCACGCACGCACACACACATTCTACCTTTACCGGTCATGTGAAACTGCTATAAGTCGATCTGAGGATTTCGTATGTAAAATCGTGGTGTGTGTGGTCCTGTGACAAATCAGTTGAAGTTAAGCCACGTTAGGCGCGAGAGTCCTTACATGGTTGACCGTGTTTGGCAGCTTGACTCCTGAGAGTTTCTAGGACTACAGTCCTGCTCCACAACGAAACACACGTAATACATGTGGTCTCACCTTAGGCAAGTGAATTTGTTCAAACTTGCCTCTGTTCACCCAGCAGAAAATGGGTACCCGGTGGGATAAGTCATTTTGACTAATCACCTTCTAGCGCCTCACGGGCAGCTTGGGTTATCCAGGGCAATAATAATTAGAATGTGTGTTAGCGGTTGGAGCATGTGCCTTGTTCGTGGAAAAGGCGTATTATAAATTCACAGTTATAATATATAATCGTGACACATCGCACAGCAGCCGGTTACACCAGCAGACAACAACAGGATGCGTCGAGGAACACTGAATTGGTTAAACACTTCCGGAGTAACAAGACGTCACGATGACGCCACCTGTCGCCAGCGGCCTCCTACTTGTCGAGTTTGCCAATACCGGATAGTTTCTTACACGCTTGGTACTTCGTTGTCCCCCCTGGAGGCGAATAACAAAATATAATTGTTTTGGTTTGCGTAGTGGGTTTATATGGAAACAAATATTTATGTACTCAGGCCCCTTAATGGTGGATGATTAGGGCGATCGCGATAGATAGATACATAGATAGGTTGACATATACATGTAGATAGATAGATAGATAGATAGATAAAGAGCTCAGTGGATACAAACACCCTATAACGTCCATATGTATATGGCTTGGAACTGTCACACATCAGAAAATATCATTTACGTAGATGTTTTATTATTTTTAGACGGAACAGGGAACTGTTTACGAAGCTGACTATCATATATACTTCCTGTATGGGATATGTTTGTCACACATCTGTTCGAGGACATCCAGTCGCCTGCATGTGTTACAATCCAAACAAAAGAGTGAGGGATGTGCTCAATTGTACGTATGCTACTCAAAGTTTGCAAGGATCACCACATGCAGTGTAATACGTCACAATGTGTGCATCTGTTGAAATTGCCTTTGTCGATATTGCATGAAGACATGTTTTTTTAAACCAGATTCTGTGCCACACAGTGATTACAAACAACACGTGTCTAATTATGAGTCAGATCACCCGTCAAATACCCGAGTATCTGCCTAACGCTGAAACGTTAACAAATCAGGGAAAGGAATTCATCGTTAAAATGATACTATGTGCCGCATAAGAGCTTACAAACAACACGTAACCAATAACGAGTCAGATCACCCTTCAAAAATGAGAGTATCTGACCAAAGCTAAATCGTCAAAAAATCCGGGAAAGAAATTCACATGATGCAATGCCGGCCTGGTACCACTGTCTCATGCTCCTAATAAGTGTTTGGATGGTTACCAAGGGAATATTGTTCAACTCTTCAGTAAGAACATTGCCGAGTGTTGTCGAAAAGACAGGTCGTCGTCAGCGACCCTGCTGCCTTTTCAATATGTGTTTGGTAGGGTTGAGGTCTGGTGACTTCTCCATGTGGAAAATGGTCTCCTGTTCTTGGTAGGTATCAACGACTTTGGCACGATGCTGTCATGCGTCAGAGCTCTAACGTTCACATCCAGAAAGTCATTTCAATAGCGCACACACGTGTTATTGCGCCCCTCTTCCAGCTCTACTGATTCAACCCCCAACCATGATAGAGCCCTTAATAGCGGTCAGGTTTGTCTCTGTTGGGATTCTGGGTGCCGATCCACAAAACGTTCGTAACGTTACGACTCTTTAGTGTATCATAGGCTTACGAATGTTGTTTTGTCAATCAGGGCCCCGAAACCTTTCCTTTGAAATTGTCCACGCCACACTCAGGCATGACGTTCTTCGAAGTCTAAACAGTATTTCCATACATCAGTGAAAAATGCTGAAGCCAACATGAACTTCAGCATTATCCAAACGTGCCTCTCTGTGATCAGAGACCAGCCTCTCAGAGACGATTACTCTGACGTTCCTCATTTCCTTTCCGTGTGTGGTGGCAGTCACACTTGGATGTTACGGCAGTCAGGAGAAAAGTGTCTTCCCATCCGCATTACTCTGGGTAGCTGATCTAAACGTCTGGTATCCATTCCATGCCCGCCTCATAAGACCGTATCGTTGTGTTAACTCTCAAACGTGGCTCTGCATTTTGTCGGATTACTCGGTCGCGTTTATCGATGCTAAGCCACCAATGCACTCAGTTGCCGCAGTCCTCAATGCAAACAGCAAATCTGGTTGTGCTCTCTATTACTGATAATTCTGCCTCAATATCCAAACACAAATTTTACAGCATCACGTGCCCATGACTTAAAGTATGCCTTTATCATAAAAATGAGGACCTATAGGCGTTCCCCAATCGGGTACCGGGATATTATAGTCTTTTCTTTTTGTTGGATGATCTTATATCATTATCATTATGATCCTTAGCAAACCTTGAGTAGTATATGATCTGATTTACAATTTTCGCATGAGAAATGAGACCAAAGTGTTTGAAGCGTTCACAAAATATTACAATATTAGAGTTGTCATGTGTACATGTACTCAGTACGTAATTTTTTATGAGTGAGTGATTTAGTTTTACGCCGCACTCAGCTATATTCCATCTACATGGCGGGTTGTTTTTATGAAGCTAATGAGTTACAGCTCAGTCAGTTGAATCTATTGTTGATAGAATGAGCACTGACAGTAACTACCTATACCCGATCCTCGAAGTAGACTCATCTGAGAAGCCTAATATAAAGGCATATTCTCGAGGTTACCACTGCACTAAAATGAGGGAGAGGTGGGATTGAGAGGGGTGGTGAGTGGCAATCATGGGAACAATGATGGCATGGCCTTATTAAACGAGAATACGGATTTCGGAACACACAGTTTGAAGACGCTGACGAATGGCCTTTGAATCCCAGATATTTCCCGATTATGATCCTTCGTGTGCCTTCACGTTACCTGTGGCTCGGCGAAAAACGTCAACGTCCCTCGTGACTTGCCGTTCCTGTGCCAACAAGCTGACGCGACGTTAATAACTGGAAAACAGTTCAAAGCGGCACCGTCCCTTCAAAATGCACATCAAATCTCTAATCCCTCAATTCTCAGTTTACAACCAGTGGTTACATGCCCATGGAGATTACACAATTTACCCATTGTTATATCTGCTAGCATTTATACCACGACGCTTTGATACATATAACCAACGGTCATGCTACGGCGATGATGAACAGTGACCATGGATCATGCGAGCTGATGAGGTCCTTTTGAAATCGATCGAGATAAATAGTTCAGTACTTAACGTATCCTCTGGAGGACGTAGAAAGTGGAACACACAGATGGGTCGTTGCTCCGTGCTTTTTGAACGGATCAGTGTTTAATTGCCCACTGGTTAGTTCATTATAAACTTTTACAGGGCAACACACATTACTGTATTTCAGTTAAACCAGTGATTGGGTTTCACAGAATCTCAATTATTGTCAGAGTCATACATGGCTTGCTGTTTTGTGAAGTAATTTCATTGAAAGTGCTATGGCTATTATTCTAATGTGAGCGCTTAATGATAATCCCTGTATTGACCTGTACAGGTATATAAGGGTGGCCTGAAGTCATTAGGATTATTGGAGGCTATCATCCTTCTGGAGGGCTGTGATTCAATTTCTTTCTGTTGAGATCCAAGTGGAAATGGCAGTTACAACAGACTCGGTGTTCTCAAGCACGGAGGGGAAGATCCACAGATATGACTTCAAAGCTCCTCAGATCCGTCAGATATATTCAATCATCATCGTCATAGTGGGTGTGTTTGGTCTAGTTGGGAACACCCTGAGTGCGATTGTCTTACACAGGATGCCTCAAGCGACGGTGAAACTGCTGAAATATCTCACATTTATCGACATTTGTCTAATAATTCTCGGTTACGTTGATTTCGCCATGGGATTTGAAGATCCAACCGAGGGCAGTTATGACAAGGTGAGAAACTCGATATTGCCAATCTCTCACCCATTAGCACTGACAATGTATTTCGCAGAGATCTATCTGACCGTCTTCATTGCGATCCAGCGATGCTTGGCTGTTGCTCGGCCCCTGCACAAGAGCAGAGCTACGAGAGAGTCCTTCATGTACAAGACTGTGGGTGTAATACTGGTAGTGTCAGTCGTTGTGAACATACCCCATTGGATTGCTTTCCCCCCTGAGTTGAAATGGGACTCTTACCTAAACGCCACAGTGCTCTCGTCTTCACCATCAGAGTTTGGAAGGTCGTACGCATACAGACAGATCTACTCCGGGTATCTGACGATGTTGGTGAGGACGTTCATCCCAATGCTGACGTTGTTCGTCGCCAACGTTGTCATCGTCGTCACCGTTAGAAGGAACCTCGCTCAGAGACTACAGCTTGGGGTAACCACAACGGAACGGGATGACAGCAAGATAGGTCAGACAACAGCCGTCATCTTGGCCATCACGACCATGTCCATCATCACCCACTTCACGTCTGCCACCATCCGGATCCTAATAGCATTCTGGGAGAGTGACACGAACCTTGCGATTGAGGCCTTCTTAAACTTCAGCACGCTTTTGATTATGATCAACTCGTCTACAAATTTCTTCCTCTATTGTACCTTTGGCAAGGAATTTCGAAAATCATTGCTGACATTGTGCAGGACATAGAACGTCGTTCTCTGGATTCGCCATTTAAGGTTATATTTAAAAACAAACAGATTGATCGACCCGCGAGTTAATCCCAATCAACAAATAATTCGTGTTTAGTAACGTTTTGATGTACAACCGAGTCCGGTAATTCCGCGCGTCCGGTAATTCTGCGTACCTGCAATAGCGTACTTACGTATCGAAGGTAAAAATCGTCTGCTACCACATTTACGCTTGAAATCGGGACATTTCTACAAGGGACTGGCTATTAATCACTTAAGGTAAGTAAATAACAGTAATTGACAGATAGATTGACAGTTTTATGAAAATTCCTTTTCTTCTGACTTTTAAACCTTTTTCTTCATTATCCATAATTGGATTTAATATGAAACACTCTTCCTTACATAGATGAAGTGATTTTTGAAAATAATCTGGCCCTAATACGCTTCCATACTTCGGATCTCCAGCAGGATGTTATGCGCATCAGTTGCTGCGCAGAATTACCGGACAGCAAACGATATCGTCAGAACGCCGGTAAGGTCAACCGTATGGCATAATGCAACGTTAGAATCTTATAGTCGTCAATAAAACTTATATTTCTAGGTAAATATGATGCATACCAGCATGTTCAGTCACGTAAATCACAAAACATAAGAGACGTTAGTTGCCGTGTTTCAATCGATGTGCTTAGGTGCGCGGAATTACCGGACGGCGTTGTATGTGGCAAGATAAATGTACCGTTGATTACTTTGTTTCACAGCTTTGTTTCAAGTCCACATGTATACATTTAGTTTCACTACAACTTTTGTTGAAGGTGTATTTCAGCAGTAAATGCCATCCAGCTGTTCAAGTCGTTACATGTGAGACCATTTGCACGTATATGTAGTACACTCTTCAACAAAAGAAACGCATAAGTCATTTTGTTGTGTTAGTTTAAGAGCAATTATTTTATGTAATTTCAATGGTAAAAAGGTGAACATTCACACGTCTATAGACAAAAGGTTCGCCAACACAACAGCGGCCCTTGTTGTTGTGTTTCTGTTTACTTGAGTCCGAACGATGGCGTCAAAGACAGTACTTTGTATGGCCACCATTGGCAGCAATGTTACTGCTCGGTACCGCCTCGGCACAGGCTGGATAAGTCGACGAAGTCGCTCTTGTGGAATTCTTCCCCACTCTTCCTGCAATGCGATGGCCAGTTGTGGAAGTGTCTGATGAGTGTTTTGACGTTGACGTACTTGTCGATCGAGTTCATCCCATGTGTGTTCTATCGGATTTAGATCTGGTGATCGGGAAGGCCATGCCAAGCCACTGACGTTAGAATTGGCAAGGAATCGGACCGTGACGCGTGGTGTATGTGAAGTAACGTTGTCATGCTGGAACAACTCTCTCTGTCGGTCCATATTTGGAAGCATGTGACGTGCATGTGACGACTTTGTACCGATTTGCTGTCAAATTCCCCCGAACCACCACTAAATCAGAACTTTGTGTGCTGGATATCACACCCAATACCATGACACTGTCTCCACCGAATCTGCAATTAGGGTAAAAACGTTCATTTCTCCGACGGTAACACGCTGTCCTCCATCTCGCCGGTGAAGAAGAAACTTAATCGTGATTTATCACTGATCCAGACTCGCCTCCAGTTTCTAAGGTTCCAGTTCCAGTCTCTATACCACTGCAAGCGATTGCGCCGATGGAAGTCGCTCAAAAACAGTTGCGACAACTGGTCTCCTTGGTTATGATGTACGATATCGTTTTTACTGCCATTTGACTGTAAAACGATTTAACATTGTGAATAAGTGAGTTGGTTTTAACAGTATTTCAGCTTAATCAGGGGGCGTCAGGTTCAAATGGGAGGAAAACCCGAAGTACAGTAGGTCGAGAAAGCGGCAGTGAAACAAGCGAGCTGTGGTATGGTGCTGTAAAGCCTAAAAAGATAATCGAGGTTAACCGGTATCCAAACCCATTGGTTGCTGGACCACCCATCGCCACAGCCTCTGGGCCACCCGTGCCACGTTAACATTGCGAATTGCAGTATTGGCCGATTGTTTAAACAGTGCATGTCGACATTGTCTGGGATTTTGTTTAAATACACGTTGTATATTTTTACACATGAAAACCTTGCTATTTAACTGTTTTCTCCCAACTGTAATGTTGTTGTTGCCTTGCCTCGCTGTGTCTCCGTACGACTGTTTCTATGTTAATAAATACCAAACGGAGTTTTAACTCTTGTTAATTTAATTTGTCTTAAATTGTGAACTCCGTGAGGTATGGATGGTATGGAAAGCTAGATGGCACGTAGTCGCGTTGACGCATTGTCAGTGTTTGTCCTTAACCCTCATTCTCTTCCCACAGAGCTTACTTGTCATATCGTCCTTCGTAGGAAGATATGACAAGTTACCTCTGTGGAAAGAGAATGCTTAACACTTGAAATGCTGCAGGCCCAAAGGACCCAGAACCATAAAAAGTTGTGGGTCCTGATCAGAATGTGTAGGCTATATATTTTAGTATGGAAATAATACTCTTAGTTAGGGATGAAAAAGCTGTCGGCCATAAGGGCCTGCAGAATAGAAAAGCTGTGGGTCGAGTGGTTTCAGTCGGCTTCGGGCGTAAGGACCGACGTTAATTTTGAACGCTGCGCATTGTCGAGTTTTGGTTAATTTTCGCTCTCTCTCTCTCTCTCTCTCTGTGTGTGTGTGTGTGTGTGTGTGTGTGTGTTAATTTTGACATTTTTTGCTTGTGTTTGTGAGGGCGACATTGCGATGTCCAATGCGACAACGCGACAATGTCCCTTCTAGGATTCCATAGGGTGATGGTGGATATAGCCTACTAATTCAGCCTAGTGATTAGTCTGTTTCACTGTCCCTGAATCACATTATTTTCCCTACAGCCTAGCCCTCCCTACAATGCTAAAGCCTAAATGAAGCAAGTCAAGACTTCCACAGGCTCTGAATCTCCCAACTCACTGGGGCTCCTTTTCAATGTAAATGAGTTTATCTATTTCGAGCAAAATTATATACATTCTGAGACTAAGCGTTAATCTACCTGATGATAAAAACGTTGGCTTGTCGCGCCGAAGGCCCGGACTCGATTCTGTTAAAAGGTATGATCTGTGAACCCACCTTCTGGTATCCCCCGTCCTGATATTGCCAGAGTACTGCTGAAGGCGATATAAAATCACATTCCCTAATGCACATTTGTATGTACACCTGTATGTCCACCTGTTTCAACTGCTATGAATTTTCCTTATACAAACTGTTCCAGTCATCACATTTATTACTCAGCTATTTTACCATACGCCTAGCCATAAATGTTGGATAGTATCGCGACTGCCATGCCCTGGATAATTGTTTATAGTGTTCTCTCTACTCCATTGACATAAATATCAAGTATGGTCGCAACAATGATAGTCACGTTCACGTGGTTGAGATCCCTTTAGTGTTATTGTTAAGGTGTGTATTCGTTCGCACGGAAAGTGCTGATTGTGAGAAAATTATGCAAAAGTATCCAGTTTCGTAACGAACTGTCGCTACGCCATCACTATATATAGAAATATGGTCAACTCAACTTTCAATATATTTCAGTACTCAGTTGCCTGACGAGTGATGAGTAATTGTTTACGCCTGAGGATCAGCGTGAATGTTGATCAGTCCGACAGGATGTGGGTGAGGCGTTGATCAGTCCGACAGGACGTGGGTGAGGTGTTGATCAGTCCGACAGGACGTGGGTGAGGCGTTGATCAGTCCGACAGGATGTGGGTGAGGCGTTGATCAGTCCGACAGGACGTGGGTGAGGTGTTGATCAGTCCGACGGGACGTGGGTGATGCGTTGATCAGTCCGACGGGACGTGGGTGAGGCGTTGATCAGTCCGACAGGATGTGGGTGAGGCGTTGATCAGTCCGACAGGATGTGGGTGAGGTGTTGATCAGTCCGACAGGACGTGGGTGAGGCGTTGATCAATCAGACCGAAGACGACTGACGTACTGTGGAATCATTTGACATCACCAGTCCATCGACAACTAGTCTGTCCGTCACCCATCACCCACTACCAGATAATTAGCAGTACTTACTGATGCTTACAAGTTTTTAACCATTTACATTCAAATTACAGTTTTTCTCTACACTGTATTTAATAAATAAATGAAATAACCATATAACACTTAATTTGTCACGGCGTTTTATCCAAATACATAGGTCTGTTTGTTAGGGTCCGTTGGTCACTCATGATATCAATCACTGGTTTGTCTCGACCAGATTTGAATATTTACAAATGTCCGTCGTATTTCTGGATGCGGAGTTCAACACAAAAAACTCATGCACAATACAGATACCATACAGATGCCATACAGATACCATACAGATGCCATACAGATAACATACAGATACCATACAGATGTTTGCAGAGGTGGGATAATTTCCTCATCAAGCAACAACTAGAACTGTACATTAGACCGACACTACAACAGCCACACCGCCACTACTTCCGCTTGTCAAACATACTGGTTCATATAATACCAGGAAAGGTTGAATAAGGATGTGGTGTTATACAACTGTTGGACATTGGATACCTTCGAGGAAACGTGACCTATGTACATCGCTTGGAAACAGGTTATCTCCATCATATTTACGTAGACTCTGTTAACGACAACTCGTGACATTACCTTTCGCCGCACAATTAGATCTGTGAAGGTAATGTATTTATCTTTAAAATATTCATATGTTGCATTTTTATACAATATTTATTTTTATAAGGCAGTAGTAGTGTTTGGAGCACGTACCGTAGTAAATACATTAAACCTGTCTGTATATTAATAGTGTGTTTAAAGTACATGTTCAAAATCGTTGTCATTTCATGTGGACAGACTAAATAAAAACGAACTTCTGATGTAACGTTTTCACACTCATCCACAGAAGCCATGGGAATTGCGTACAAAAACTGGTTGATGACTTGTCGCATTATGTTTGCCTAGGAAATACAATTTAATTCATCATCGCCTACACATGTTGTGTTCTAATTTTTGCGCGTATGCAATACATTGCTCTTGGTCTGTTATACTTTACATCAGTCCATGCCTTGCTATCTCGTGACAACTCGGCCCCGCCTTATTATCGGATCATGTCTATTGTGTGTCTGGCGGTCATCCGATATATATGGTGAGTGTGAGTGAGTGAGTATGTTTTTACGCTGCTTTTAGGAATATTCCAGCAATATCACGACTGGGGACACCAGAAATGAGCTTCACATACTGTACCCATGTGGGGTCGATATATATGGGGTTGGGGGCATCTGTGTGTTGGAGTGTTGGGGTGGCCTTGTGGTCTACTCACGCCTGCGATTCTGGCTCGATTTCTTCCATGGACCAAACATGTAAACCCTATTTCTGTTCTTCCCTGTCGTGATTTGACTGTAATAGCGCTAAAACCCAACTGACTCACTCACTCACTCACTCATTGTGCTTGCAGGTTTGGGTACCATAAACCTAAAGATAAAAGCGACTGTGATAAAATAGGTTCATGGACAACTGAATAAAAAACATTTTCAAAAAATAGCACATGCGACTTTACCGGTAGATCAATTATCTAACTGTGCAGACAACAAGACGCTTACCAGGAGAGTTAGTGAGTGAATTTAGTTTTACGCCTCTTTGTAGTAATATTCCAGCAATATCACGGCAGAATGGGTTTCACACACTGTACCAATGTACCAATGGTCTTCAGCGTAATGAGCGAACGCTTTTACCAGTAGGCTACCCCACCACCCATTTCACCAGGAAAGAGCAGGGTAGCTTTATGACGTTATAGGGTGTACTCGGTAAAACAGTGCGACGCCTTGATTGTCTTTTTCTTTAAAACTGCAGTGTATCACCAGAATGGAATTTGCAAATGACCAGGCATTTTATGAAAATATAAACAAGACACATCAAAATAGTTTATTTTCAAGATCTGTTTACAATTTGTATTACCATTCTGTACCTGTAATGCATAAACAGAAAACGTACTAGACGGAATTTGAACTTGATTATTAAAAGATGTTTAAGTTTCAGTTTTGACACGGAAATTATTGGAAATCATTTACATACATTAATTCTCCAAGGAATAGAGATAGAAGCTTTCAATTGTGTGTCATTCAAATTCACAAACAGATAAAATGTGAATATTAAAGTTACTTTTGTTTCGGAGTTTAAACCCAATAGGGCTAATACGTTACTGAACATGCCTGATACTTAGTAAAAATCATAAAGGTCCATTAGTGACATTTGAGAACATATAATAATTTAACTTGTGTTGAGTGAGTCATCACTCATCTTTTTCACCTAGTATTTAGACAAGTATAAATAATTACTGATACAGGAAAACATATAATGATAGTTTGTCTTTGAAATTGAATGAGATTCGATCTCATACGCTATTGAAATTTACATTCGTGGAGTTAGCTATGTTGAAGACAATTTGGAGTTACTTCCCTTGGAATTTCCTCTCGTACGCACAGCGTGAATGGTTGAAAGAGTCTTTGTCAGCTGATCAGAGGCAGAGCAACAACAACATTTACTAAACTAAGCATACAGCAGAGTCTCAAAAGAATTTCTAAGGGGATATCTGTATATATTGTAAGTATTTCCGTATTTTGTATTCCTTTCAGAAGATTTAGCAGCTCAGTTAAATTTTACGCTTTTGATGTTTGACCAGACAGCCAATATATTTGGGACCCTTCATTTTGAACGGATTTGAGGATTGGTCGTAGGACTGACATCATTATATGTAAAGTGTGTGGGAATAGTGTGCTCTTTACCGGATTATAGTCCGATTACACTGCCCTAAGGTAAGGTCCTACTCTAAACCCTAGGGATCGGAGAGGGTTGTTTAGTAGCTATTTTAAAGCTAAAGACGTGTCAGCTCCCTAAAGATCGGAAAGGATCCCTAACCATACAGCTGCCATAAGCGGCGGTAAGAGTTCCTCCCGTTCGCCCATCCCAAATAATATGTATAAATATTCTAGAATTATAAACAAAACTTAACACAACAATTACTAGAAAACTCACAAAATGATTAAAAGTCCAAAATTTAAGTTAGGGCTAGGTTTAGAATTTGGTTTAGAGTTGGGGGAACGGAAGGAACTCTTTCCCGAGGGGGGTGGGGGGGGGGTGTGGGTGAGGGGATGGAGGATCTTTCCAGGGACTCTAACCTTAAGGATCGGAAAGGGTGTCATATGTCCCAAATTTCGACAAGGATGGAAACAAGACTTTTAGTTTTACATGCAGTTCTATCCCTTGAATCAAGAGGATGGAATCAAGACTTAGGCCTATAACACTAGTTCTTAGGTTTGAAACCATTAGTTTCAAATAGAAGAATATATGACATTAACAACTTGACAACTGTAACAAATATTATAAGTTAAACGAGAACTAAAAATGACCCCCAAACTGTAACACAAATATTGATTTCTGTGCTCTAGAACTCAATATTCTTTAAATACTGCAAAGCCAGACATAAAAATGGTGAGAATCCATGCATGTCTCTTAGTCTTAACTCTACTCAACTGTAAGTCAGATTGCTAATCTCACAGATCACAGAAATCTCCTGTTCAGTTTATTATGTATCCTGTGTTTAATCAGGGATACTCTACAACAGGGATAGGTCACTCGCTTGCTTTCTTTACCATTTGTACTAATTAGCGTGTGCCTCGTCATGCTCCAACGCACACAGTGACTTGGTTCGGTCCCAGCGCAACTTCGGCTGCGTTTAACAGTACTTCAGCCAGTGTATTGTATAGGTCGGAATTTTACAATGAATGAATGAATGAATTAAGAGCAAGAATTTTATGTGAATGAATGAAAGAAATTAAGAAAAAGAACATATGTGAATGAATGAAAGAATAAATGATACACCACGGCCATCCCTCCCCAAACATGTTAAAGAGCATAAAACTATCGGTAGAACACATGTTAACATCAGCTGTCCGTTTTATAAAAATCTACTTTGAGACATATTTTTTTTACATTAGTAACTAATTCAGATATCTTATTGCATGTGTGGAATGACATGGGCATTGACAGAATGTTAACTGACACTGTCACAGACCCCTCAAGAACAGAAAGTTTAGAACTATCACAAAGCCTTGCAAACACCTTTCCAGTTTTGTCAAATACTAAGATCAACAAGAAAGAAAGAAGTTTTAGAACTATAACACTCAAGCATCACAAGCACCAATGAAGCATCAGAACAAGCATGTCAATGCACACACCTCAAATGCACACTAACAAAAAACAAAAAACTATCAGAACAGATCGTGATATGTTTTCATATTTTGTATTTCACAGATCGGCGATACATATTTTTCACAACACCTCAAATACACACTAACATTTTTAAAATTATAAAACTATTAAACTTGCCAACCTGAAAAATTCCCTCATAAAAATTATGTACTGAAGATGTTTTACTTGCACTCAAAAACTGTAGTATTTCACCTGATGGTATATTCCCAAATACACACAATTTTTTTAAAACTATTAAAACTTTCACCTGATGTATGTGAAGATGTTTTAGAACAATAACTAGAAACACTCAAACAACGCCCTGTAGTATTTCAATGGCAGATCAGTGATATGTCATATTTTCACACACCTCAAATACACACTAACATTTTTTTTTTAAAATTATAAAACTATTACTATTACTTGCAAACACCTTTCACCTGATGGTATATTCCCCTCATAAAAATTGAAGGTGTATGTGAAAGATGTTTTTGAACACTAACTAGAAACACTCAAACAACCCTGTAGTATTTCAATGGCAAAATGGATCGTGATATGTCATATTTTGCACTAAACACACCTCAAATACACACTAACAACTATTTTTTTTTTAAATTATAAAACTATCACTATTACTTGCAAACACCTTTCACCTGATGGTATATTCCCCTCATAAAAATTGAAGGTGTATGTGAAGATGTTTTTGAACACTAACTAGAAACACTCAAACAGCGCCTGTAGTATTTCAATGGCAGATCGGTGATATGCCATATTTTTTACACACCTCAAATACACACTAACAATTTTTTTAAATTATAAAACTATCACTATTACTTGCAAACACTTTTCACCTGATGGTATATTCCCCTCATAAAAATTGAAGGTGTATGTGAAAGATGTTTTTGAACACTAGCTAGAAACACTCAAACAACGCCCTGTAGTATTTCAATGGCAGATCGGTGATATGTCATATTTTCACACACCTCAAATACACCCTAACCAATTGTTTTAGTTATAAAAATATCACTATTACTTTGCAAACACCTTTTAACAAAGGTATATTTCCCTTCTAAAAATTAAGCGAATATGTGAAAGAAGTTTTAGCGATATGAGTTAGTCTTTCTTCGCTGTGTACTGAGAATTGAAGCCAGTGAGCTACAACATGCCCACTTGAAACTTTACTACAAAGCTACTGTACTTATACTGACACTAATAACAAGTATTTGACTTAAAATGAAGTGACAGAATAGGTAACTTATCTTCTACATGTAGGTTTTCAGTTGTCACAACACTCAGCGTATGTAATCAGCTGTTGAAAATAAACCGGGCTCAATCTTAAAACTACGCTGCCGCCATATTGGCTGCACTGGTCACGTGACGAGCCGAGGCATAGCTTAGGAGCTTTCCGAGGAGTGACCACTCCCCCTTATAGAGTCTCCCTGGTTTAATACATATTAAATAGTGTGATGGGCAGATATGGAATCATGTCTGATGTGAATATCTGATTCAGAATTAGAATACATTAAGGCTATTTGAACTCTAATAGTGCCTGTTTTCACAGATTGAACATTAGGCAAAAAAGTGAAGCAGACATTTTAGAGGCAGCCCACTCTACGACTCAGTGCAGTGTGCGAAATGTAGGTTGGTCCTGTGGCTCTTCAGGACCACTCAATGATAAGTTTGCAGTGGTCCTGATGGCAGGTGAATTTTGTATTGATTGTTAAGTAAATCTATGAATGTTATTTTGGACCAGTGAAGTACAGACAGGACCACTAATTATTGTCCATTAACTGGTCCTGTGGTCTAGTGGGAAATGTTGAAAGGTTTCTTTCCCTGCAGTGACCATGTCCAGCAAAGCTATATTAATTTAAATGATATCATTGCACTCTGTTCCCTCATCATAATAACAATACAGGTATAGTTACTACCAGTTTGATGATGTAACATATGTTATATTTGATGTTCATTTGATATTGCAGATTGTTGGCGGAGAAATCAACAACTGATCAAGCAAAGAAGATGCTGGGAAATAGCTTGTTGCCATTTGTGAGCTGTCTTGTCATAGTGTATGTTTACTCAGCATCAGTATATTTCTCAGTTACTATGGTTACCAGAAGATCAACATGTTGAACGTAGAGCACTGAAATTCATGAATGTTTAGTTGGGAAAATGTTGGTTAATTTTGAATTAAACATTTAACTTAAACTTTCATTACTTTATAAGTTTGATTTGATGATTTGCAGTGGGGGATTATGTCATCTTAGTGACAATGCTTGTTGTTAATAATGATTATACCTTTTTGAGTCAGTCAGTCTTGTTCACCATGTTTATGATCCTTTGTATCATCCATTTTGAAAGATATCTGTCTTTTATTTCTATCATTTCATATATTATATTTTTATTTTCATCATGTCCATTCTTTGCTGTTGAGAAGAGATGTAACAAATAAGTTCAATATTATATTTTTTCTCGATTGAAAATGTACCTTTTTGATCTTTGATATAATTATGACATAGTGCTCATGAATGAATGATAAAAGAAGTAAATTTTAATTCAGAAAACTGTTGAAGTTTAAAAATTGAAATTAAAAAGCCTGATGTGCAACATTTTATAGGATCGCTTTTGCTAGAGAAACATTTAATTGTTTTGAGCATATCCATCATCAAGTTCTTTTAATAATTATGACTCTATTTCCTTCCTTTGTTAACTGCTAAGATATTATTTGCTTAACTCTATTTTCTGGACTTTCAGTGTTATGAGTGCAAGGAGTGAGTTTGACTTCTTTGCATTTTCTCAACAATGGCCTCCTTCAGTATGCATCGATGCGTCTTCAGAGGTTAGTGGCAATATATGTCCATGTGCGAACATCGAATCGTTAGTAAATGGTGTTATTGTATTCCTAAATTATTTTAGGTTTAGTCTATGGCAGTTGAGATGAAAGGTTATTGAAATAAATATATTGGGTGGGTGGGTGAGTGAGGGAGGGAGAGTGGAATAAGTAAATCAGATTGAGAAACTCAATAGTGAGTGAGGTTTTATGCCACTGTAAGCAATATTCCAGCAATATCACTTTGGGGTACACCAGAAATTGTTGTCACACATTGTACCTGTGCAGTGTGCGAAATAGTTTCCAAATTTTGCCAGCGAGGCAGGCTAGCTATGCCTGAAAGTTATTAGCCAACAAAATTATTCACTAGCCTGAAATTTGAATGTAGAAATTAAGCAAAAGATAACAAAAGGCTAAAATACCATCATTTATCAGGCCATAATTTTGCATGATTTAAAAGTCGGATTGAGGGATATATATTTAAAATGATCCCATGAAAATTCACTAGCCAGTTGGACCAGTGACTGTGGAGATTTACTGGCCCGACTGGATTTTTACTAGCCCGCGGGCTAGCGGGCCAGTGGCTATTTCGCACATTGTTCCTCTGTGGGGAATTGAACCACAGCCTGCCTCATGATGAGTGAACACTTTTACCACTAGACTAACCCAATGTCATGTTTGTGTGGAACATGGCAACAGTGTTATTCCATAAACACGAAGTGTTTTACCTGTATGGTAATTTTTTAGAAAATGTTTGTCAATTAAACCATCATGAATATGTCTCTTCTTGTGATGCAGCATAAATGTGTCATTCCGGAAGAGGTGACTGCATGGACCGTTCATGGCTTATGGTAAGTTCCCATGAAAACGAGGTTCCCTGTGGGCGGCCATTCAATCAAAAGGTACATCAGTTGAAATAAAGGCTATGAGTAATAACCAATAATAGTCAGATAAAGTATTAAATTAAGAATTAAATGTTACTAATAAACCCTAAAAACAACTTAAAAAAGAGATGTGATCACTGTAGGATTAAAACTTGTACAAATGTTACAATGGTCAAGTGTCAATAATAGCATTATCATTCTTTATTGTGGTAGTAGGTATATGTAAGGTGATACATTGTTCATGTTTGTCTTTCCTGTAGGCCCAACAGCCGCAGTGGTAACGAGCCCAGTAACTGCAACAGCTCCTGGCCATTCAATTATGATGACATCAAGGTACGAGGTACACGATTGCAGAGCTACAGATAACTTTTTGGGTCATTGAATTACATACTCGCTTGTGTTCATCTCAATTGGGTATCCTAATTTTCCTTTCAGTAACCTAATAAATTATACCCTCCTTATTCAAACTCAATTGGGCATTTTGCCATTTTCCATTATTTGTGAAAATATAATAAAGTTTAAATGTTGGTTTACGTGTGTGTTATTTATATTTCATCTGTAATATGAGAAAAGATATGAAAATTCCAAGTTGCCAAGTTCATGTGCTGAAATAGAACCTCACAATATATAGTTATTCTATCTATCCTCAGTAACCTCCATCTGTAGCTCTTGGGTCTGCTTACTTCAAATTCTAGTATGTTTGCTGAATGCTACAGTACCCAAGTTAAGATTTGTCATTTTCATGTGTACTCATGTAAGATCAAATTTATTGAATATTTACAAAAACTCAAGAGTACTTGTACGCAATAGACTTAATATGAATTGGGTTTTCACATAAACATTTGCGTAATTTACGCAGATACGCAGCTTATCTGTACCTCTGCACGAATGGTCCTGAATCTATCAGTACATGATTTGTTTCTGTTGAGTAATGTCAGCTAATAATAGCACATATACTTACATTATATACTAGGCACATAAAGAAACTGTGCATACAAAAATTTAAAATCTAAATTTATCAAACCTGTGTAGACACATAAGGATTAAAACTCAGGGATTAGTGACATGTATCCAACATGAATGCACGTGCCAAGTTCCGTGACGTCAGTGGGTTCGTCCTTGAGACGTGCATTCCGGGGAAGAGAAACAGAGCAAATGAATGTCACACAATACTGTCCCTTTGGAAAGCTCAACCCCTGCCCTTGCGATCGTTCAAAAAATTAAACGGCTATTGAAACCCATAGCATGCCAAGGCTTACGTCTGCACAACGTCATGAGGCCATTGGGATTGTCCGTAGGGGAATGTCTCAACGACAAGTGGCTGCACATTTCCACTGCCACTGGAACACCATTTCTGCACTGGTGAGACGCTACCAGAACACAAATGACGTCATCGATTGGCCACGTTCTGGACGTCCACGTGTAACAACGCCAAGACAGGACAGATGGATAAGGGTGACCCATCTGCGCCACAGGTTTCAGACTGCAGTGATGACTGCCCGAACCACCCCAGGACTTCGCCTTATCCACCCCAACACAGTTCGTCATTGTTTACATCATTACGGGATCAGACCACGACATCCCGCCATACAGCCTATCCTGACACAATGTCATCGACAAGCTCGCCGAATGTGGTGCTGAAATCATGTCCGCAGACCCTTGTTTTGGTGGAGAAATGTTGTTTTTACAGATGAGTCCAGGTTTAACATTTCCCATACTGATGGACGTCAACGTGCCAATAGACGCGTGGGAGAACGTTATGCACAGGCCTGTCTTGGAGAGGAATCGCTTTGGTGATTGTTCAGGGTAACTTAACTGGTGTGTGCTGCAGGGATCAGATTCTTCGACCTGTGGCAATTCCTTTTCTGCAACGTCATGGTCCCGGGTTAACATTCCAACAGGACAATGCCCACCCTCATACGGCAAGGGTTGCTATGGATTTCTTGCAACACCACAACATTGACTTACTGCCTTGGCCTGCAAAGTCACCAGATCTCTCCCCGATAGAGCATGTTTGGGACAAGATGGATCGCCGTCTAAGCCGTCTTCCTCATCCGCCAGATAAAGTCCTTGACCTTGCAACAGAACTTGAGAGAATGTGGCGTGACATCCCACAAGCCTTCCTTGCACGTTTGATAGGCTCTACGTGTCGTCGATGCACTGCTGTACTCAATGCCGATGGTGGACATACCTGTTATTGAGCTTGTGACATGGTCGTTTGACCCTTGTCCCCGCTTGTGGACTCGTGACGTCATTTGGATTGACTTTTCAATTGAAATTCTCCCGACTTGTTATGGTCTCGTGATCACTCCATTAAGTGTATATTTACCTTTGACATTGTTATCGTACTTATCAACTGGGATAATATTTTGACAATGCACAGTTTCTTAATGTGGCTAGTATATATATACTGAAAATATGCTAAATTCAAGTTCTGTCTAGAACACTCAAAAAATGTTTGAAAAGTGTATTATTGTATCAAGGAAACCAGCCTCTTATATCATTTGATAGCATGGTAAGAGACTTCTGAAAGATTATAATTTCATTCTTCAACCTTTCAATGTGAGGGTGTTTCATGACTTATTCATTCAGCAATATTTGTTATTTTTCCCTGCAGTTTTGAGCTGTTATCTTCTATTTCATGCTTTATTTTAGTCATTAGAGGCCAATCTGACTGCACAATGGCCTAACCTGTTCACTGATACACCGAAAAACGACTTTTGGTATGTATAGTTATGTAGACTGTAGTTAACTTGGTGTAGCATTGCAAGTTCTCACTAACATTCAAATGATAAGGGTCATTCTGTCATCTTGATGTACTAATGAATGGAAATTTCTGGGATTATTGAATACTTTTATGATTCAAAGAATGATCCCCAAGTCTGCCCCTTCAAAATATACCTGCCTTGGTGCAATTTCTACACAAAAACCGACATTCTGTAATGTCGTGGGGGGTAACGGGATAGCCTAATGGTTAAAGTGTCTGCTCATCACGCTGAAGACCCAGGTTCGATTCCTCACATGGCTACAATGTGTGAAGCCCATTTCTGGTGTGATATTGGTCCTGCCGTGATATTGCTGGAATATTGCTAAAAGTGGTGTAAAAAGATGCTCAGTCACTCGCTGTAATATTGTGATATTGGTTGTGGCAGCCTTTCATTGGATCGTGGATGCAGTTAGAGGGAGCTAACTCCCCAGGCATTCTTTTTTGGGAAGATTATTCCAATATTCAAGATTGACAGAAGTGAAGTAAAATCCTTGACAATGCCTGTGTGTGTTGCAGGGAGCATGAATGGGAGAAACATGGGACCTGCGCCACCAGTCTGCCAGCCACTGACAATGAGTTACACTTCTTCACTACAGCCCTTCAACTCAACACAAAGCTCAGATTACAACAGTAAGTTGTAGCAGATTCTTGTTTGCCTTGGTGAAATGTTTGAAAATGTACATTATGGTCATGTTTAACAGTACATAGGGGTGAAACGGTACGCTCTTACCACAGTACGGTACGTATTGCAGTACATGGCCTTCAGTTCGGTCCGTTTCGGCTTGGTATATGAGATGTGATCATAATCCAGAAAATTGACAACTAGAGTCAACCTTACATTGTTTAATAACACGGAGAGAAAAATAACGATAATCTTTGTTATTTTGAATGAACAAAACTGTCATTTTATGACTAGATAGAAGAACAGTACGAAAACCGAAAATAACGAATTTATGAATTGCATTATGGTATAGCGAATCGAAGGCAAAGTACCACGGTTCTACTAATACCGCGGTATACCGTTTCACCCCTTACAGTACTTGCGTTCTTCATCTTACCTTGAAATGTTTACAGCAGTCATCGATTGAACATGTCTATGGTCTCTCACCACAACAATTTAGAAAAGAGGAACAAATCTTTCAACTGTTTTGCACTTTCTGGTAACTTCATGATAACAGTGTGTAATGGTGGTAAAAATGTTCCTTTACTTCCTTTCCCCTGTCTCAACAAAACACAAATGTATATTCAAGCATGAATACTGATTTGGGGCTGAATGAAAAGGTTCTTTCTGTCAAAACAAACAGAAAACAATCACAAGTTATCCTCTGTTCTGATGAGGGCGGTGGGGTAGACTACTGGTTAAGGTGTTGGCTCGTCACATGGAAGACCCATTTGATTCCCCACATGGGTACAATGTGTGAAGCCCTTTTCTGGTGTCCCCTGCCATGATATTGCTTGAATATTGCTAAAAGCGGTGTAAAACTAAACTCACTCACTTACTGTTCTGATGAATGACATACATAGTACTGAAACTGAAAACAAGGAACTTTGTTGATTATTTGACCTTAGTTTCTGTTCTTTTCCCAACACTGTGTATACAGAGTGGCCAAATATTCATGTACAGATGCTGCAGTATACCAGCATAATTGAACATTCTGTTTATATTTGTAAAATGTATTCAGTGGGGTTTTTGTTTTTAATTGTAGTAGGGAATGTATTTTTAACAGCTTAATAAATAAAGAGTGTTCTTTATTTGTTTCTAATTTTGGGGCGGTGGGGTAGCCTAGTGGTTAAAGCGTTTCGTCTTAGCCTCTAACTTTAGTGTCGTTATATGGATAACCTAGGGTGGCCTAGTGGCTAAAGCGTTTGCTCGTCACGCCGAAGACCCGGGTTCAAATCCCCACATGGGTACAATGTGTGAAGCCCATTTCTGGTGTCCCCCGCCGTGATGTTGCTGGAATATTGCTAAAAGCGGCGTAAAACCAAACTCAGTCAGTGTTTCTAATTTTCATATGGAATGTTTCTTTAAAGCATTGTTATTAAACCATTATCATTTCATTACCATGAGTGCTTCTGATGTTGACTACTGTATTCCTCAAAGCTAACAAGTACTTTCACCTGTTGCAGGGTGCTGAAGGTTTTTGATGTCATCCCCTCAAAGGACACAGGCTACAATGTAAGTCTCCCGTCACCTAAACACCCACTGGGGGATCTGAGGGGTGGAGGGAGGGGGTGGAGCTGGATGGGGAGGGGGATCTGGAAGGGATAGAGCTGGAGGGAGGGGTATAGCTGGAGGAAGGGATCTGGAAGGGATAGAGCTGGAGGGAGGGGTGGAGCTGGATAGGGGGTGGAGCAGGAGGGAGGGATCTGGAAGGGATAGAGCTGGAGGAAGGGGGGGGATGGAGCTGGAGGTAGGGGATGGAGCTGGAGGAAGGGGGTGGAGCTGGAGGGAGGGGTGGAGCTGGAGGTAGGGGGGAGCTGGAGGAAGGGGGTGGAGCTGGAGGTAGGGGTGGAGCTGAGTGAAAGGGTGGAGCTGGATGGATGGATCTGGAAGGAGGGGAGGGATCTGGAGGGAGTAGATGGAGCAGGAGGGAGGTGGTTAAATAATCAAATTTTTTAGAATTGGCGATTTTGGTTTTCATGACAGAATGTAATAATGGCTGGACTGTTGTATTCTGTTTTGGTGCAAACATTTATTTTCTGAAAAGTTAAATATACGCTTTACTCAATACATGCTATATGGATATCCCTAAATTTGAAAATGATAGCCTTGTGTATAGTTGTGTGATAACATGTTTCTGATTTTAAGAATTGAAGATTTTTCTTATAAGTTTAAAGTTATCATTATGAAGCATGTAGACTGATATTGAATGAGTTCATGGTCTCATATTGTATGTTACCTTTCAGGCAACTGAAGTCAGCAATCTGTTGGAGAAATATTTTGGATCAGCTCCAGTGTTGCGGTGCACATACCAACAGGTACATTGTTTAGGTGACCACATGGAGATCATTCTCTTACCACAGTGGTAACTCAAGTCATATCTTCCTATGTACCTCTGTTCTAATACGGCCATATTTCCTGGATCTTGTAAAATCCCCTAGCGGCAAAAAATTGCCACTAGAATTATCTCCCTTCTTTCTATCCAATCACTGCATGTGTTACATCGACTTAGATCCAATATGGCAACCGCCATGGAGTTAGTTGATCAACATGCGAAGGATAGATTCGGTATTTCATGTTTAACTGAAATTCAAAAACTAGCGATAGAGAGTGGAGGAATCAATGGACAAGATGTTTTGTTGGGACTAAAACTGGTAGTGGCAAGTCACTAACTTATGACAGAGTGATGGAGATGCCATTGATCCGCCATTACATGACTGACTTCTGTCTAGAAGAAATGTTTGAGCATCGTGCAGGGGAAGAGGGTCTAGTTTTCCTGAAGCATACAGAAATTATTTTATTTTTCCTAATCCTGACTCATGCTCTTTTGCTTGTCTTCTTCTTCTTCGAACATAGTGGAACACTTGTATCTCCTATTGAAGCTCCCTTCAATAAAGAATAGACGTAAAATCACTCCTACCAAGAGTTATCTCTCCAGCCGTTTAGGCGGGAAACTGTGGCGCCACCGTGCCCTCATGCCTCACTCTCTCCTTCTTTGCCCTGTGGGCAGGTTGTGAGAGCGCCTGTGTCTCCTATACGGCACTATATCCTTTAATTAATTAGTTATTTTCCTCTGTTCTACTTTTATAGAGGTTTAGTTAGTATCCTACTACAATATGGTTGGATATTTAATCGTATTTAGCACTGTTTATTCATGGTATTGTCCGTATTTGTTCAGTTGTTTACATTTCATGATAACCTATTTTCGTTGTTGGTTTAGGTTCGCTGCTGCAGACCCACGTTGATTGTGCCCTAGCTGCACAACTATATGTACTTCCAGCTATAGCTGTAATCTTTATCAGCTTTTAATTGAAATTCAAATTAATATATAATTTTTCTCCGTACTTAGACGTACTATCAACTATCCAGGTGACTTCCAAGTCATGGGTAAACTGGCTGAGTCCCTCATGAGCTGTCTACTGCGGTTAGACGACTTACTACCATCAAGTGAGCTGCGGAGGTGTACTTTCGGAGGATGGGCGTGGGATGTTGTCCGCCTTTACCGAAGGCGTTGGCTTCTACATCGGACAACCCCTCAAGCGCAGGCGTAGAAGGCGCCATCCTCTACGCAGCATGAAGCCTCATCCTGATGCCAGCGAGAGGGCTTCATGTTAAGCCACTGCTGATCTTCCCAGAGATACAGCACGCAGTCCGAGGCGACAGATGGCGATCTCCGGACCATATCGCTATCAGCGCAGAGAGGGCAGCTCTACAATCATCATGAGGCGATGTATAGGCGCCATCCTCTACACAGAAGGCTACACACCCCTTAGATGGCGACAACTCTACGGGGGCGTCTACGCAGACTACAAGGACTTTCTCTGCCGAAATTGTTCCGTTGAGGGTACAGGGACTCTCCGATGATCAACCGATCATCTTCCCAGAGGTTCATCACAAGTAACGACCAGTCAGCTACGGTGACTGCAGCGCAGATCTCCACGGTATCTACGATGACAACAGATGAGCGTCCTGTGGGCCACGTCGCTATCAACGCAGAAAGGGCAGCGCTACTATCACCGCAGACCTTCAAACCGGGGGGACCGTATGCAGGAGATGAACAACATTACGGCCTGGAGTAGAAGTCACAGCCCACAACGAGGTCCCGAGCCTTCGCGAAGGTTCCAACGCAGACGTCGTCTCTGAGGGACCCTCCATCAACGTGACATCTGGCAGCAGATCTACACTACAGGCCGGCCTTCGCGAAGGTCGACTCAACCATCCCCTGCGGCGGACACGAACGATCAGCATTCGCGAAGGCGTTCGCGAAGGAAGAATCGCCATACCCGGACTCAGATGAAGCTTCGCGAAGGACAAGACGTCACTTCCCAGATGCAGACTCAGATGAAGCTTCGCGAAGGTATTCGCGAAGGAACAGTCGCCATCCCCCCAGATGTGAAATCAGTATTCGCGAAGGAGAATTCTTCCATCCCTGGCTACAGAATCAGACCACCAGCGTTCGCGAAGGCGCGAAGACGTTCGCGTAGGCGTTCGCGAAGGACCAGTCACCATCCTCCACATGCGGAATCATGCAGAAAATTCTTCCATTCCCGGATACAGAATCGGACGACCAGCGTTCGCGTAGGCGTTCGCGAAGCACCAGTCGCCACTCCCCAAGTACGGACTCAGTTGAGCCTTCGCGAAGGCTTCGCGAAGGACGTCAGCTACAGTATACAAGCATCTTCGTCCCATAGATTGTCGAGGGATTCACCAGGACCTTCGCGTACCTACAGGTCACCCTACAGGCACAGTTCGTCGGGCTATTTACCACGTCGATCTCCTCGCCGACTTCCACCCAGATCCCCATACAGGTCTCCAGCGAAACAGAGACATCGCAGTACTTCGTCTCTCTACTGTACGCCACATGCCGTCTACAAGCCTGCAATTGCGAAGGCATTCGCGCAGGCAATCTACAACGCAGAAACGCCGCAGAACGCTACATGTCATCACCAAGCCTGCGCGAAGGCATTCGCACAGGCCAGCCACAAGGCAGAGACGTCGCAGTACTTAACTGCTTAACAGAACACTACATATAGCCTACAACTTGCGCGAAAGACGGCGCTATCTTCATAAACTGTCAACAGATAAAGAGCCTAATAAAGGATCTTCAGGCCGACTACCTACATCAAGGGCATCAACGACGCTTCTCAGATCATCACGGGAATCACCATTTCGGTATATATTGCCAGGTAGGCAATCCCGGACTACTGAAGACGATTATCTACATGCAAAGCCATACAGTCACACCAAGCGACCACCACGCAGATCACTACGCAGATCGTCGAGGTTATTCAACTAGGACACGAAGTAGCGTCATCCTAGAAGGGAAAAGATCTTCGTCGATACACAGACTGAAGATAGGTCATACAGTACAAGAGACGTACTTTTGCCAGAATTCATCACTAGCTCGGATCTTCAGACGGAATCCAGGACGGATTCACATAGATTGATATATCTACATTAGAAGATTCATGGCCTTATAGAGATCTTCACCTTCGTACAGATCTGCAGACATTCTCTCTGACGGAGTTCAACGGCAGCCTTGCTACAGCTAGGAAATTACATACTCGTCACTGATTCCCTGAGTGAAATTTACAACAAGTTCAGCATTAATTCTACAATTACGACGCTTCATTGATGTAAGCAGTCTACAAGCTGACAACGTGAAAGTTTAATTGAGCCTATGTATAAAGATGACGGCATTATCTTCAAAACTGAAGTAAGAGTCACAACAGCCAGGAAAACAACCTACCCAGCATCGATATTACGCGGCGAAATATTTCGCGCCGAAATATTCGCGCGTTTATCATTTAACCCTCGACACACGTGGCCACTCATGTTACTTCGGAAAACTATGGAACAGGACCGACGATTGATCAGATATCAATGATGACACTAGATTCTACAAGGATCTTTTTCCTGCTACAGCGGTGACATCACAGCGCGGCTAGCCTAAAGAATCAAAATGCTTTGTTTTGATTGGACCACGAGGGACAACGCCCTGCGCAGAAGTCGGACGTAGTTCACAGATCAAGAAATGGGTTACAAGTGACAACAACATGTCAGCGAGTGAGCAACGCCTCCATTACAGTCCAGTTAGACTGGACCTTCGTGATTTGGGTGCCTTCATGAGGTTACAGACCCCTCCTGTCATCATGGAAGACATGGTAGCCAGGCGATGTTTACATACAGTTCGCAACGATGGCAGGCACACAGTCGGCCATCACTTCATTCCTTACAGACACGGTAAGGATGTCAGAAGCGTAGGATATAGATACAAGTTCTTGTATCTCAAGCACTACTCTCTCCATTTTTACTCTCTAAGTAGCGGAATCTGTTGGTTTTCGCAAGTCAGCACAAGACATGACATGCAGAGAGAATTACAACTACGCCCACTACTGGTCTTCATGAATATACCACCGGAAGATCCGGACAGGTTATAACCCATATCTGTATATGGTGAACTCCGTGCGAGAAGGGTTGCAGACGCACCTAATTAGCGGGGTCGCAGTACAAGACGCATCTCTTTGGGGATGCATCTCTCCTAGAGTGGGAGCACACCTTGTCAACAATGTGTCAGCTGGGATATGGACCATAGCAGAGACGATCTGCACGTCCATATGCTGGAAATGAAAGCAGCGATAAACGCCATGCTCCACCAGATCAGCTTTTTTATAAAATGCTCATCTAACGGTACACACAGTCACCTCAACAGTGACGGTCTACATCCACAGAAGGATCGACAAAGTTGGCAAACCTTCTGGACTTCTGCTGTCAGTTGATCAGCATAACAGTCATCCTGACTGTCCACAGCAGAGTAGGCCACATTCCAAGAACCAAGAATGTGTTAGCACATACACTAACCTGTCCAACGCAACCATTCTCAACAGACTGGATGCTACATTCAGAGATCTTCAAACAGATCATATAAGAGATGGTTGAACCTTTAAGAGACCTCTTCTCCACAAGGGTCAACTGATAAAATTCATCTCACCAATATCAGATCCACGGACAGGGACAACGGACATGCGAAGCATCTCCTGCCTAGGACTAAACACTTACGTGTTTATCCACCAGCTCTATTACCTAGGGTATTGCAGACATCAGTCAGGCGAGAGACCCACAACTATTTGGGGCACGCCTTTTGACCAGCGAGAATATGATTTCCTATTCTCATACAAGATGTAGGAATGCTTCTACTGCAACTACCAGAGTGTACGAATCTACTAGTACATCCTCACACAAAGCAGGTGCCACGGCAACCCGAGGTGTTCGGCTACTACGTGTGGACTGTATCAGACATGCTTGAACAAGAGAGGATATTTAGCCAGAGCAGCAGCGGTCACACTAGCTTTACGCGAAGTCTTCACGCAACTTGTCTGGCGACAAGTAGTGGCGCTTTGAAACAAAGATACGCTTCAAGGATCGGCTTCACAGCCATGAAAGTGACACATCCTCAAGTGGCAGACTACCTTTGTCACCTAGACAAAGGAAGCGGTAAAAAGGGTCAACACTCTCAACATACCTAGCGGCATTGAGAGCAGTTATCGTCATGAGGACGAGTGCAACTAACTAAAGTACCAGAGTTACTGGCCTTACTATGCCCTTAAATTGGAGGACCAACATCAGAGATTTAAAGCTCCGGTATGGGACCTCAGCGTTGTTCTACGACATCTCACTAGTGACATCTACGAACCATTATAGAGAACATCATTAGAGTTCTTGACACAGAAGGCGCTGTTCTTGATAACCTTAGTAACAGCAGCAAGGATGTCGGAAATACACGCTCTGGATTGAGAGAACACGATTTGATGCAAATCAAACATCGTGCATATGGGACTGAGATGGGACTTCATGGCAAAGAATCAACTGCCAGGTCATCCAGACAGACAATTCCACGTCCCAACACTATCATCAGCCCTTGGACCACAGGATACGCACGGCTTATCCTTGTGCCCAGTACGAGCATGGAAAGTCTACCTACAACGATCCAGGTCCATGAGACGGAAATTCAAGTGTCTTTCGTCTCGATATCAACAGCGGCACAGACAAAGGTCTTCCGCACTAAAATATCAAGCTGTATCAGAACTGTCATACTACTGGCCTACAAAGCAGCAGGACTGGATCTTCCAAGAGCCTCCTACCCACATGAAGTGAGAGCTCTAACGCAACGCTCTCTATACTTGGAAATCGCTCTATCAGGATGATAATGGAGGGCTGCTTCTGGAAATGGGACATGGTGGTTGCCAACCATCACTTGAAGAACATCGCCACTGAGGACGGCTTTTACATTCACCATTTCGGCCCACTAATTGTAACACAACAATTGACAGTCCCACTAAGGGGCTGAGACGGAGTCTCACCCTTTTGTTGCATAACTTACTAAGTTTACACTCAGCGGAGTTCTGCTTAAGTCATGTGCACGTCTAAAATAGCATAAGTAATATGACCCAGTACTTGTAAGGATACTGGTACAGGAATGGGTCGCTTCTCCACTTGGTGCTTGCATCAAGAGTTAGAGTCGCAAAATCCACATACAATGTTAACACATGAAAGGACCAAAAGTTAACTTTTGTGGTCCCCCCATTTTAAGGCAGCTGGAAGGTTAGGGTCGCAACAGCAGCAGAGTTTACTAGTAAATACAGTGCCATTACGAAGTTCCCATAGGGGGGTATATAATGACGTAAAATTCACTAAAGAAATCCTAAAGTGCTTTTCCCACCACCTTTTCCGTAGGATTCTACAAGCAAAAGAGCATGAGTCAGGATAAGGAAAAATATGTAATTTTCTGAATAAAATTGATATTTTATACTTATCCTGACTCATGAGGTAAGCCCACCCATCCTCCCCTCTAGACACTTTGGATTTCCCTGCAAATTCAAGTGTCGGGCTCATAATCAGGAGAGAGTGAGGCATGAGGGCTCGGTGGCGCCACAGTTTCCCGCCTAAATGGCTGGAGAGATAACTCTTGGTAGGAGTGATTTTACGTCTATTCTTTATTGAAGGGAGCTTCAGTAGGAGATACAAGTGTTCCACTATGTTCGCAAGAAGAAGAAGACAAGCAAAAGAGCATGAGTCAGGATAAGTGTAAAATATCAATTTTATTCAGAAAATTACATATTTATATACTCTGCGAATGGTCACTTTTGAAACAATGTCGCTGATTGCAATCATGAATTCTGAACACTCGCACCATGAAAGGGCCGTATTGGAACAGAGGTGCGTGGGAAGATATGACTTGAGGAACCTCTGTGGGAATAGAATGCATGGAGATTTGAGTTACAACATTTGTGCTAGCATTAAGAACCATGTGCCCTTGTTAGCAGTCATCTCCTTTGGTAAGAGGGTCCACTGGTCTCTATCAAGTCTAATTTTCATAGTGGCCCTTTTAAGCCTTTACCTGATCACTGTGCCACCTTGTGTTGAGCATAAGTTGTGCCCCTTTTGATAAAAACATGATGTCCAATCAGATTGCTGTTCTTTATTTGAATGGCTTCAATTCAATTTCAATTTATCAATGCCAGCGACAGTGTTATTATGAATACTGGTTGTGTTGCTTATGATCAAAAAAGTTGACATCCATAACTTCTCTTCTTGAGGTGTATCACTTCTAGTAGTATGCTACTCTTCTATACGATCTAATTTTTGGTACAGTTGATGTTTTTAATAAAGATGGAGATCTACAACAAATTTAATAAATTTCATGTTTGTGTGTTTATTTTTGTGTATTGTGACACTACTGTGAGATATAATCATGGAGGTGATACAACAATGATTTTAAAATATTGAACAAATGTAAATATTTCAATAAACATGATAAGAACAGAATTACCTCGATGTAAGCACATGCTATACTATACTATTTCAAGAACCTAACTCAAACACTGAATTAACGATCAAAATATTGTCCAAGATCATCAGGGTGTTCAGCAACTTTCATCACTCTTCTCCAGGCAACAAAGAGGCAGTTTTTCCTCGAGATTGAGATCTGTTTTGACAAGTCCTTCAAGCTGATGGATTGTGGATCCGAATTCCAAGCCACCCTGGCTAACCTGACCCAGGCTGAAGAGTGCCGATCTTCGGAAATAACCTACCTCTATCCGCTTCCTTCTTCAAGTTCTACGAAAAGGAATTAAATCTACATTTTCAATAATAATATATTTTTGTAAGTTTCAGCATAACATACTTTACTTGGAAAAAAAATCACTTGATCTGTATTTATTGTGGTGGTAGCTATTTCAGTATCAGTAAGACTTGTATACTACTCAAAACAAGTTGAGGAATTCCTAGTTCTGATATTATTATAGTTAATATCATAGTTTATCATGGCATTAAAGATGACCTATAGTAATATGAAAGAATCATTTATTCTTTAATTTCTTTTGAGTAGTATTAATTGATAAATAAATAAACTGTTGAAGTCTTGAAGGTTTAGAAGTTGGTGCTCTCAGTTTAACCAGGTGTGTATATTTGTGATTTTGTGACAAGAGTTTCGATTCCCCTCAAAAGTGCAATTTATTCTGTGAGGCATTTTGACCTCTTTCCTGTTCTGGATGTTTGATTCCCCATTTGGGTACAGTGTGTGAAGCTCATTTCTTGTGTTCCCCTGCATTGATATTGCTGGAATATTGCTAAAAGCAGCATAAAACTAAACTCAGTCATTCACTTGGGAGGTTCAGTCATGTTTATTTGTTTACAGTCAAAGTGTTGAAGTAATTAGAAAATGAAAGAAAGGTTTGGTCTTTTAGAGTAATACAGTGTTGTCTGGTGCTCATGACATAATTTTCAGAACATAGTAAAATATTTTTTGTTCTTAATTCATTTCAAGGTGCTACACACAAGTATACACTCCTCTTGTTATCATCCTGACAGTGGGGTAGTCTAATGGTTAAAGTGTCCACTCGCCATGCTGAAGACCTGGGTTCAATTTCATACATGATTACAATGTATGAAGATCAATCCTGGTGTCCACCACTGTGATATTGTTGGAATATTGCAAAAAGCAGCGTAAAACCATACTCGCTCACTCTTGAATCAATTCAAGAAAAAAAGTTTCTTTACATTCTTAAATAGACATGGTCAATCTGGGGCGTATTATGGAAGGTATGTTGTGCATGTGGAGGAGTGGCTGTTCCGAAATGTATTATTGATTCATTGTGGACTAATTCATGTCTGGTTAGGGGGCGATGGGGTAGCCTAGTGGTTAAAGTGTTCGTTCGTCACGCCGGAGACCTGGGTTCAATAGCCCACATGGGTACAATGTGTGAAGCCCATTTCTGGTGTCCCCTGCTGTGATATTGCTTGAATATTGCTAAAATCGGCGTGAAACTAAACTCACTCACTCACTCATGTCTGGTTGACAGTCCATAAGCTCAGGAAGTTGGCAGAACTTTGTCTAGTCAGCTAAGGTATAAATGTACACAATATCCTTGAAACTGGAATGTAATGGTGGATTCATTCTGTATATGCTGTCATCGGTGTGACTGGACAAGAGTATTGGGCATTTCAGGCTTTCAGTGACACTCCAATGATATTTGAAATTTGTACGAGGGTGTGCCTACCTATGTTACACCATTTCCAAATCTAACAATGTTAAACTTCCAACAAGGAAGAACTATGTTATCCTAGTTTTGGAAAGGTGTAGTCTAATATTTTCAGTTTTGCTAATCATCTGATCTTGTTAATAATAAGCTTGTGTATTGTTCTCTATTATGCCACTTCACCAGAGCCCTGAGTAGATCTCCTTCAGTTTGACTTCATTGAACTATTGTTGAACATCAAAATAGGAAGTTAGTTAGTGAAGGAGGGGAAATAGTGTATAGATTCATGTAGATTCCAAGGGATATTGTATTTAATTGCACACCAGTCAAGTGATGTGTAGTTTCTATGCAGACTGTTATCTGGTGACAAGTGCTCAATGTACATGTATTGTAGTCAGTGCATTGGTTTTTGCATGAAGTCATATCCAAGTTGCTTAGATTGATGCTCATGATGTCAATCACTGGGTTGTCTGGTCCAGACTTATATCAAGATTATTTATCGTGAAGCATCTTTACGACAACAAAAACAACAAAACAAACCCAAAGGGGCACACAAGGAAACAAGACAGTGTAACACCCATGTACATACATCCATGGTGTAGCGTAGTGGTTAAAGCGTTGACTCATCAGCTGAAGGGCTGGATTCGATTCATCAGATGGGTACAAAGTGTGAAGCCCATTTCTTGTGTCCCCAACCTGGAATGTTGCTAGAAGCAACGTATAACCACACTCACTCCTCCGTATATGGAAGCATACCTTGTATGGCAGCATCACTCCTCTGCATCACTACAACATGATGTAGTTTTAGATCCGGCATCACAATATGGTCAGTGCAGTGATGTTACCAGAATATTTCCTTTACCATTTAAGTGACGTATTTGGAGAGTCATCTGTTGTTTACTATTGTGTGTAGGAATTGTCCTCTTGGTAATAATTGCTCTCTAATGACGACACAACAAATATTGTTAACTCATTTGATAAAATAATTAGCAAACTCAAAGCTGGTTGCATTCAGAAATTAAAAGAAATATCTCACAACATCAGAATGAATATGGCTGTATTAGCAAGTGTATAGTAGATGTGTAGTGAAAAGACTAAGAATGGCATTCTGGATTGTCAGGTGTATAATATCTTTATTCTGTGATGATATGTGGCTATATGGCTGAAATAAAAACCGATGCGAAGTTAAATTTGAAGTACACCCAAGACCCAATGTTACATAAGAGACATAATCTCTCATGCTGTAAAGTCACTGAATTTCGGCTTGAGCTTGAAATAAATATCCAATCAAAATAGTGGTTAGGTCCCACACTGCCTACATCCCAAACTGCCAACAAAAATATTGTAGGCAGCGTGGGAAATGATTTTTTTGCCCTGTAGAATAATGGAACAGCCCAATTATCAATGAAGAAGGGGTTGTGTCGTTTGGAGTAAGGTAGTAGTAGTTATTTGCTTTATTTAATGTTGCACGCACAACTAAGGTATTTCGGCGACGGGGTAGTACACTTATTCAGAAATGAGGGAAACAAAAAATATAAATTTTGAAAGAGTGGTGTTACTACCCAAAAAAAACCTCCAACAACTGAGTATTAAGGGAAATTTGAATGAAATGCCGAATTAAAAAGGTAAAAAAAAAATGAAATAGGTAAGGAGTATTAGAAATTTTGAATTTAATATAGATGTGTAGTAAATGGTTATTGTTATTGTATTTTTTAACCAACCCATGTTTAAAAACATATTTATTAAGTGAATAATGATAAATATATAAAAGGTTAAAAAATGAACTTGATAAAAAGAGAGAACTGATTTAAAAAGTTAAAAGAACATACATACATATTTATAACAATTTCTAAAATGGTAGAAAATAGTATTATTGTTTTTGTTGCTAGATTGTTTGGTATAATTTTGTATGAATGAGATATTTAGTGAGTGGTGTAATTAATTTGGGATTTGTTAGAATGTGCTTGAAATCAGAAGAGTACTACTGGTTTTGGTATTTACATACCCCCCCAAAGCCTTAAACAATCCTATAATCTCCCGGCAAACTCCAGTATCTTCACAGCAGAACTCGCAGCCATAGTTCAGGCCTTGCAAACAACATCTGACCAAACAAACACTACCATCTGCATTTTTACGGATTCCTTAAGCTCCATACAGGCTCTCAAAAATTACACTACAACAAAAAGACCATAAGATTTAATAAATAACATATACAGAAGAATACTATACCACCAAAACAAAAATAATCAAATACATTTTATCTGGGTCCCGTCACGTATTGGAGTCCATGGCAATGAAATGGACATCCTTGTCAGTTGTGTGTAATTGTGGAACCAGTAAAACACTGTAAAACTTATCAAATTTTCATGATATTTCCATGTCTTCATGTAAAGACAGAGAATTCTCAGAATGAATAAACCAACCAACACTTGTCATTTTTTAAACTTCTGTAGGCAGAGTGGGAAGACAGCATAGAACAGGTCAGTTCATTAACCAAGTAACTGGTCAAGTTCATTTTAGCAGGGGTAGAACAGGTCAGATAGGTGTATTCCCATTAACTTCACTTCCTGATCACTGGACCCTCATGTTGTTTTAACCTGTAGGCAGTATGGGAATACACCAAAATAGTTCCTCTCGATGCAACTGTATAGATATTAATTAAAGTTTGGTGCCTTATAATATACATGACTTTGATACTTTGAATTAAAAGATTGTTACATTAACATTTTAAAGCTAGAAAATGTTTTCATGAGTGTTGATATAGGGAGAGGAAAGTTTGTATGCTCTCTGGCATTCAGAGTTATATTTGATACAACACTCAACTTATCGTGTTGAGTATTCAGGAGTAGCTCCTCTGTATTCAAAGAACCTTGATCATTGGTTTGTTAATTTGAACATTGTGTCTTTCCAACCAGATATGAACTTAATTTTTTTTTTATCATCCAAAACTGTGTCCCACAGGAGATATCGGTTGTGTGAGATCAGACGATATCTCCTAGGAGATATCGTTTTGACAGCAGATTTTGTACAATGCCCTGACAATGCTGTGACGTCATGAAGTTGATGACGTCACAATGCTATGACATCGCTGCACTGCAAATCTAATGGCAGTACTGTGTTCAGAGATGTACACTTTTCACTGAAAACTAATGAAGAGTGATTTTTGATGATAAATAGAATCTCACCCTCATGTCTTCTGATATCAAATATATCAACACTTGTTGATAAAAGTAAAAAATATCCTCGGCAAGCCTCGGATATTTGTTACTTTATCAACTCGTGGTGATATATTTGATCTCAAAAGACACTCGGGTGAGATTCTCTATGTATTTATTTTGTACAGTCTAAAGTCAAAACTTAGAATTTCCTGATTGATATTATAGGTGAGCAAAGGCCACTTGTATATTAAGACCTGCTTGTAATCTGCTTTCTAATTTTATCTTGTTTACGATTTAAACCTATTTATGATTTAATCCTACATTTTCAAATATACTTTTGTATGTTACTCTTTGACTTTCAATCTGTGTTAACACTTTACAAACACATTTAGTTGAGGCTGAATGTGAATTTCCATATCAAAATGTTCTCAGGAATATACATTAATAATTTGTTTACAGTGCATGATTTGATCAGAGACGTCATCAGTTATTAAGTATTGTTTGATTTGAAGTTACCAACTCTGCTGTATAAACCTTTATATACTCAGTACTGTTTTTCTGGTTGGCTGCCCAACCGTATCGGATATTTATCAATTGCGGGTTACATGATTAGTGGGCTGGTGAGTAGTCAGCTTGTAATGGTAACTGGGTTAGATTTCATAATCAGATACAATTTGTGAAGAGTAGTCTTGTGTATTTCCTGTTACCTCATGGATGTTATCATGTATTTGTTGTAGATATGTTTGTATAACAGGTGTGTGAGATGTCTCTATGTTCAGTAAATTGTGAGAAGTCTTATGTTCAGTAAATTATGAGACATCTTTATGTTTCATAAATTTTTAGATGTCTTTAGTGGAGTAATTTGTGAGACATCTTTTCATAAATATAAACTGTGAGACATCTTTAAGTTCAGTAAATTGCAGCACATCTTTAGTGGAGTAATTTGTGGGACATCTTTTCATTTAGTAAATTGTGAGACATCTTTACTTTCTGTAAATAGTAAAACATCTTTATGTTCTGTAAATTGTGAGACATCTTTACATTCAGTAAATTGTGAGACATCCTTACTTTCCGTGAATTGTGAGACATTTTTACTTTCTGTAAATTGTGAGACATCTTTACATTCAGTAAATTGTGCGACATCTTTATGTTCAGTATTGGCATGACAAGGGTTGCCATGACATGTAGTCATGGCTAAGGTCGAATTCAAGACTGGTACATATCAATTTTGTTGTAGTGGCAGCAGCCATGTAGGTACAAGTTTCAGATGTGAGGTGACTGGCTACCACTATTGGGGTGATTCTCTGTTGTGATACCATGTATAAGTGCCCTGGAAACAAGAGTGGAAGTCTCAGTGGCTGAGCGGGTTAGGCGGCAGACTTTGTGTGCTGACTCTGAGGGTGTGGGTTTAAATCCCGGATGGGATTCTGCCCAACAAAAGTACTAGAATCTGTACTTTACTGAGAATGTGTAATCCCAAATATAACATATGTTACATTTGACCACTTGCTAAATGGCACTGTGTATTCGTTACTATAAGGGAACTATATGGTCTCTACTCCTGAACATTGTGCTGCTCACTTGTCCACTATGCATTCCATGGTCCTGTGTGAAACTCCACAAACCACTTGTCCATAAGGACCCTCCATTTGATAATCTGGATGGGGATGGAGAGGATTTGTTTTAAAACAGACATCTGAACTGTCAAAATAAAATCTTGAAAAAAATATTTATGCTTCAGGCTGTTGAAAAAATGTGTAACCATCTGCTTCAAAATTTCTTCTTTGCAGAGTAGGGTATAATATTTACCCTACCAGGGTGTTTTATTAAAAACATGATCCATGCTTATTGTTTCAGTTAAACAATATATCTGTTTTAGCACCCATTGCTGGAACATAGCTAATCTCCATACAACATGGTAGCCATCTTCCCAGAACATCGAATAGGTGGTCCTGTATCACTGATGCAGCTGTGCAGTGACCTAACTTCAGGGTGTGGATACTTATTTTTTTGAGTTATTTAGTACTATATTTTTTGAATAAATATTTTTGCCTCTTAATGTGTATGACTGTGTAGTTTGTTTCAGTCTTGCAATGAGGGTCGGTATGGTAGCCTAGTGGTTAAAGCGTTCGCTCGTCACGCGGAAGGTCCGGGTTCGATTCCCG